GCTTTTTTGTTCGTGTGTGTGTAGGGGAGGCAGAAAAAGAAGTTTCTTTGCAACGGTGGTCGGAAAGCGTTTATCTTTCTCTTATTTAATAACGCTACCAATAAAAATGAAATATTAATCACAAAAATAGAAGGATATCGGTGTGCGCAATAGTCTTCTTTTTTTTTTTTTTTCTGTGTGTGTGTGGCGAAGTGGCTTCGTTATTTTTGGATTGTTAACATTGATTTATTTTTTCGGTCTTTTTTTTTTTTCCATTATTTTGCCTTTTCTCCGTACATGTGTTTTTTTTTCTTGGAGTATACAATGTAGAAAAAGGGATTTAACGTAAAAGGTATGACAACTGTGACTTTTGATATTGGCAGCTGTTTTACGAAGGTGTACTTTGGCGGAGATACAACTGGCAGACGTGTCTTTAAGACACCGCTGGGACTTCGAAAATTCAAAGAGCGCTTTGATATTACATTGGAAAGTGCGGTACTGGATTATTTCTTGAGGAGATTGTGCTCTGCTGTGGGTTTACTTGAATATTGTAAACGGATTGAGGTGCTGGTCTCACCAGGGGATTCTTCCCTGTTCACCCAGTACGTCCTGCGTTGGTTGGCTTCGGCCTCGCTTAGTAGATTGCCAATAGTTGTAGATGGCCCTTCTTGGTTGTTGAAAGCCCATGGGATGACAGACGGTTGTGTGGTGGACATTGGTTACCAAGCCACCCGTGTTGTTCCCATTCTTTCCTCGATTCCAGTGGTGGAGGCAATCACTATCGGTAGCGGAACAAGAGAGTTTCTTGCGCTGTCGGCAGAGGGATGGCTAACCTCATCCGAAGCCATTTCACCGTCATCATCATCATCACAATTGCAGGGTTTGCTAATTGAGATTTCGCAGTGCATATTCGTTCTTCTTGAAGAGGCCGTGGCTCATTGTAATGCGCATACACAGCGTCCTTTTGTCTCTGCTGTGTTTCTCCTCACAGGAGGTGGAGTCGCAGTGGAGGGACTAGTGAAGGGGATTCAATCTAGTGTTCTGAAAATGTGGCCTAACTCCCACCTTTTTTTTGCTGAAACAGCTTCTCCCGTCCTATAGAGTTTATCCCTCACCTCGTGAGAATGGCCTTGTATTTTGCATGTCTTGCATTCTTTTCATATTTGGCGTTTTTTCTTTTTGATGGTATTTTACGTCGTTTGTATCTCGTTAAACGTCTCTACGTGACGCTTGTGATTTGTTTTTGACTTTTCCCTATTTTTTTTTTTTTTAATTTCTTATCAATTGCCGCGTTGTGTCCCTGTGCTGGTGCATGCTCGTTTAAACATAATAGTATTGGCCCATTTTCACGACTGTTATTGGATCCGGATGGTTGGGGAGAATTTGGATGATGAGAGTCTTATGGTAATTGGCGATGCAGAGCGGATGAACCTTTTTGACCGCATTCAGAAACAGAAAGCAATGGAAAAGCAACAAGGGGTGAAATTTGTGTCGCGCAAGGGTCTTCCCACGCCATCCATGGAAGAACTACAGTCAATCCGTGATCGACGAGGGAAACAGGCCGACATGATGAGAATGAAGAGACATATGGAAGCGGTAGAGCGTCGCAAGGTGGTGTGGCGCGACTATGTTTCGTATGAACCTCGGGGTTGTGGGGTGGAGCAAACCCATTCTACACACGTCGACACAACTAGTCTGGAAGGGCGCGCGGTGGTTCTTTCGCCCCTTCTGGCGTTGTTTCGTATGCTGGTCTGCAATAACCGCGCCAAAAAACGGCTTGAGAGACTTCGCGAAGGACGATCACTGCTTTTGCCTGAGGTGATGTCCGGCTGCAATGAGGGTAAAACTGTTGCAGAGGTGGCGAGCATTGTGGATGAACACATGACGGTGGTGCCAGCTTGTGTTAATCGAGGGGCCCCGCTACCGAAGTTGTTTTTGGTGACAGGCTCATTCGATGCGAAACCCCTTCGGAGCCCGTTTGTTTTTCTTTCGAAACAGTACAGAAGAGAACGTCTGCCGGAGTTTTCTCTCAATTTGAGCCAGGCAGTCAGTAAGGAGTACGCTGCATACGTGAAGCGTGATTACAAGGAATCCTCCGCCGTAACACTTTCGGATTTTGCGCAGCCACCTATAACAATTGAAGCATTTGATGTAAATAAGAGAGCATATGATGTGGCCCACAGAAGAAATTTCGTGTTGGGGTACGATAACTTTAGCACTGCAGCTCGACAATCACAACCTTTTCCTCGTGGCGAGAAGCGAGAAGAGGTAAATAAGACCGATGACGTGATGAATGGTATTGGGCTCTCACAGGAACTCTCTCATCTTGGTATTCCTTCGGAACTAGCGGGACCCCTGCCTGAAGACTCCATGAGCGGAAGTGACGACGGGGACTCTTCTTCACCGTTTCAGGCGGATATTTCTTGGTTGCCATTGTTTTTCATGGTAAAAAAGAGTGATGGTGAGGACTCATTGAGGCCGTGATTGAAGGTGCTGCACATGACGGTAGAGGCAATTTTTGTGAAACGAAACAACACCAAAAAACAACAACAATGTTTTCCCTTGTTTTTTCTTTCTGTCTCTCTCTCTCCCTATATATATATAGTGTGTGCCTGCGGCTTAGCTTCCTTTATATGGTTGGCCTTATCATTACTGTTACGGATGTCCCTCACGTGTGATATTATTATATGTATTTGTATGCACACATTCTTTTTTTTTTTTTTTTTCTTCTATTTTTGTTAATAAATGCAGTAGAAATAAATCGTGGCATATGTCGATCAGGCTATCAGTATTAGGCGAATGGAAGTCTGATAGCTCAATACAGAAGTGCGAAATATGTGAGGTCAGATTTAATTTCGGGTGCAGGCGTCATCATTGTCGGTACTGTGGCGGTATTTTCTGTGCGTCATGCTCGAGCTTTTTTGTTAAATTACAAAAGCTTTATGTAAATAAACGACGACGGGTGTGCCGCAAATGTTTTGAATTTCTCTCAAAGACACCGCAAGCCACAAATCCGTCCTGTGCTAGTGTTCAGAGCCACCATAAAGAGTTGAACAGTGTGAATGCTTGTAATTGCGAGTCCGATCGTTTGACTACTGAATCCGCCCAGGCAACAACTGTTGTCTCTTGGACGCCACGAAGAGAAGAAGATCGAAATACCGCAGTTACATTTCCCGACGAGGAGAATGCTGACGATGCTGATTTGGATGATGACGACGACGATGTTTCTGCTGCTGTTGCAGGTATATACTCCTCTATGGATGATGGCCAAAACACCGGTAGCCTCGCCTTTCTTGCTGCACTGCAAGACAACCTTCGGTATTCAGAGGGCTCTGACGTAATTCATGTTCTTATTTATGTATCAGCCACGAGGTATCAGGTGATTTTAGTTACGGTGAGTGATGGGGAAACCATGTTGATGCTCGCTAAGCGTTTGGTGGATGTGTACTTCAGGTTGGACAGTGGATCTTTCAAGTCGATTAGCACGGCTGAGAGAGAGAATTTACTGCAAAAACTGAGGTTCTCAAGTGAATCCATTGTTATAGAGAATGAGGCTAATGCGAGTGATGTGGCATCTCATTGTAAACACTTGGTTCTCTCGACTCTGTCTGTTTCCGAGCTGCAACATGCGCACGATGATGATCCTATTGAGGGGTTTTTCCGTAGCGAACTCTGCAGTGAAAATAAGGACGATGTGATATGTTAGTTGTTGCCTTTTTTTTTTTTTACTTTCACGTGTTTTTGTTTTTTAAATTTCCGTGTGTGTTATTTGTTGGTGTTTTTTTTTTCTTTTGTCTCTGGCACAATTTGCAGAAAAAAAAAATAAATAAATATAAATATAAATAAACGCTCACGAAATGGACAAGAAAAAAATAGCCCTCATTTGGCTGCCGTCTTTTTTTCTTTTTCTTTTTTGGTTTTAAAAGAAATTTTTTCGTTGAAAAACTGTGAGTTTTCCCTCGTCTGCGTTCTCGCACTCACGGAGAAACAAAAGGAGGGGGAAAAACTTATGAATTCCTGTCATTCCAATTGAAATGCCAGTCCGCCCTCCTGTGGAATACGTGGATGCTCGGCCTTGCAATCCGCAGTGTTCAAAACATCTCATATTTATTGATTTGCAGCGTTTTTAGTTGTTTTTTTTTTTGTTAGAAACTTTTTGGAACGAATGTGCGAGTTGTGGGGGCGAATTTTGATGGTGCTGCGCGGGAAGGTGGCGGCTGCAGTTTCTTTCTGTCGTCCCACCCGCCTCCTTCATTGCGCTTCACGCGGTGCTGGGGAGTCCGGCGGCTAAAAGGGGCACTAAATTAAGGCTGCAGCTTTGCTACTTTACGACGAGTTTGGCTATTGTCGATTTATTTATCTAATAGTTTTTGTTGCGTGTGTATGAGTGCTGTATAATTTTTCTTTGGAGCGCGTTGATGCAGAGCGATGTGTGATTAAATTGTCTTCTCCCATTCCGTTGTGTTTTCCTCCTCTCACATTTCTGAGGATAAGACGTCAACGACCTCATCTAAGCACATGCTCATTTCTTGTTTCTTTTTTTTTCTTTTCTTTTCTTTTTACGTTTGAAGAAAATGGACGTTTCCGCTTTTCTGAAGGAGTTTAAGAGGGCGAGGAAGGAATCTGGCGGCAGCGTTCCTCTTGGTGGCGAGGAGAACGCGGGTGCCGCAGGTATAACAAACGCATTTTCACAAAACGCAACAACAAGCGGACGGATTTTATCTCCGGATGACTCGGGGGAAAGCGAGCAGAGCATCAGCGATCGTGAAGCCGAACATGCGCCGCCTTCATATCTCTGAGAAGCAAGAGGCAACGGTATGATGCATTTGGGCGGCGCACGCAAGAGGGAGGTTTGGGCCGTACACGCGAGTCTTTTACGGAGATAAAAACGTACCGGACGAATCAGTTTCTAAAGACGGACAGCAGCATCCCCAATGCGACAGTTCGGAGGGCAACTCACTCCATTCCTTTACGAGTAGCAGCCAAGAGGGGTGGCGCGTAAACCGTTAATAAACTAAGTGATGAGCTCTTGCGGAAAAAAGAACTCTCTCTATCAATCATTGGTGGTGAGGGAGCATACAGGCAGTTGTTTTGCGGATGATTCTCGGGAGTGTGCATTGAGCACAGGCGCTGAGGACTTTCTTGTCTGTGTAGATGATCTTATTGCCACTGAAAACACGGCTATGGATCAGTCTCCTTTTTTTTTGGTTGAGGATCGTGCGGCACAACTGCAAGCCAAAAATGAGGGTGATGTGGCCACAGCCACACCGAAATATTCCACGGAAGAGCAGCAGTCTTCTTCTCTTCCTCCTCCTCCCCCTGTTGAGGTGGAAGTGCGCCATGAGAAACCCAGGACTGAAAGAGTGAGTTTGTTCGCTCGAGCAAAGATGTGCTCTAGTGCGACTGCCGCTGTTGTGAATAGGGAGTCAGAAGTCTTAAATACGAGAAAGTTTTTGAAATAATTAGATTCTGACGAGGAGAAAACAATAACTACCACCACCACCAAAAAATGGATTCTTTTGAGATAAATTGGAGTTCTTTCAGTTTCTATGCATTTGCTCATTAGGGAGGGGCATTGAGCATGATCTTTGGGTGCGGAGGGATTTTGGCATCACCGGAGTCAAATTTTTGTGTTCCATTTATATTTCCACGATGCCATAGAATGGAGGAGAGGGGTGAAGAAGAGAAAAAAAGAAGAGAGAGGTGGTCGCTTGACATGGATCGTTTTATTATTGGATCCTCAATTGGTGAGGGCCGCTTTGGCGTCGTTTGTGCTGCAGTTATTAAGGAATCTGGAATGCCAGCCGCAATCAAATTCGTCACAACTCCACGTCTCGATGAGGGTATTCCGCATCCCACAGCGAGGGGACTACTTGTTGCAATGCGATTGGTGCATCCTTTTGTTATTCGGACATATGAGGTAGTTCCGTGTGGCTGCTCCTTGGCGTTAGTGATGGAGCGTTGCAAGACTGACCTGGCAACAGTCCTCTCAGGGAGAACTGCCGGCAATCCTCTGCCCGCGTTAGAGGCAAAGTCTTTGTTTAAAATGCTTCTTTTGGCGTTGGCGTACATACACAGCGAGGGTGTTCTTCATCGAGATGTGAAACCTTCAAATTGTTTCTTGACTGCGGAGGGGGAACTACGCCTCGGCGACTTTGGACTCAGTCGTGTATGGGATACGGAGGCATCCATGACTCGCGAAGTCGTTTCGAGGTGGTACCGAGCTCCCGGGTTACTTCTGGGCCAGCGACACTACGGACCCGAAATTGATGTGTGGTCATCAGGGTGCGTATTTGCGGAACTTCTACGAGGGCACAGTGGTGCTCTTTTTGCGGGCGATGGAGATATTTGGCAGTTGTCACGAATATTTGATGTATTAGGGAAACCGACGCCCACATCGTGGCCATCGGCGGTGCTGCTTCCCGATTGGGGAAAGGTGCACTTTGAGCCGAAGCGTCCTCTTCCTCTCCGTGAATATTTCCCGGATGCCTCTGAATGTGCATTGGATTTGTTGCGAAGATTACTTTGCCTGGATCCTCAAGAGCGTTTGACTGCGGCTGGCGCCCTTCGTCACGCCTACTTTAGTGAATACCCGACGTGAAGGTCCATGAATAAAGGGACGCGGGGGCTATATGTGGTGTGCGGGGATGAAAATTGGAATTGCTCATATAAATGCGTGCTTATTTTCCTTGACAATCCTTTTTGGTTGTTGTTGTTATTTTAATGGGTTATTATTATTATTTTGATTATTGTTTAAATTTATTTTTATTTTTTAATTATATTTTGTATTTGTTCTTGTGGATTTTTAACTGCGAAGCCCAATTTTTTTCCAAAGTAAAAGAAAACTAACGCGTGTGCGAGAGAGAGAAAGAGGGTGACGAGTACATATCTAACATAATAATGTATCGTTGCTTTCATCATTTCTCCACGTTGCCACTGGCGTTTGTACGACGGACTGCCACAAACAGTGACGTCAATCGCCATATTGGACCATCAGCGGCAGAATCAATTTCTATGCTTCGAATAATTGGCAAAGAAAGTCTGTCGGACCTCATGACTGCTGTGATCCCAGAGAATATTTTGCGAATTCCTTTAAAAGAGGCTCCGGCGATGAGCGAGCAGGATGCCCTTTCGCTTCTCCATTCACTGGGTTCACGGAATAAGGTATTAAAGAGCATGATTGGGCAAGTATACGATGAGCCAGGGCACACCACCTGTAATACTTCGTAACGTTATCGAGAATCCTGCATGGTACACCCCATACACTCCTTTCCAGGCTGAAATATCTCAAGGCCGTCTAGAGTCCCTGTTGAATTTTCAGTCCATGATTATAGACTTGACGGCTATGGATTTGGCAAATGCATCTCTTCTTGATCAAGCTACTGCATGTGCTGAGGCAATGTACCTTGCCTTTCATCATGGTCGAAAGGAGCGTATGACCTTTTTTTTTTTTTTGTATCGAGGGATGTCTTCCCATCTTGCGTAGAGATGGTAAAAACAAGAGCTGAGCTCCTTAAAATAAAGGTCGCTGTTGGTGATCCAAATTTGATTGATTGGAGCGATTCCTCACTTTGTGGAATTTTGGTACAAACTCCAGATGCCATGTGGATGCTTCATGATTTTACGACACTGTTTGAGAAGGCAAAGCAACACGGTGTCGTCAGTTGTTGTGGGACGGATTTGATGGCTTCTGTTCTTCTCAAACCTCCGGGAGAAATGGGAGCCGATGTTGTTTTGGGATCTGCCCAACGTTTTGGTGCCCCACTAGGGTTTGGGGGGGCCTCACGCCGCATTTTTTGCTGTCAATGAGGAATTTAAGCGATTGATTCCGGGTCGCGTCATTGGTATAAAAGTAAAGACTCGACGGGTTGTCCGGCCATACGCATGGCGCTTCAGACGCGGGAGCAACGTATTAAGAAGGAACGCGCCACATCCAATATTTGTACTTCACAAGCTCTCCTAGCAAATGTTGCGGCATTTTATGCCATTTATCACGGCTCTGAGGGCTTGAAGGAAATTGCAAGCGAAATGCACAGTAAAGCCAAAATACTTTCTGTTGTTTTAGAGTCTGTAGGACATACAGTGGTCAATGGTACATTTTTCGATACCATCACCGTAAATTTAAAAGGTATAACGCCTGAAGACCACGTGACATGCTGCGTGGAAAAAGGCATTAATATTTTTGTTGATTATAGTCATGGCACCGTCTCTATATCGGTGGATGAGGCCACTACCGAGGGCCATGTAGTGTCTCTCTTGGAGGCAGCAGGGCTAAAACTTCCTGTGATAGGTGTCCTTTCAAAACTCGCAGAACAAAAGAGAGCAATGCCTTTGCAAATGTTACGAAAATCTGTCTTTCTTGGGCATTCAATCCTTCAAAAGTACAAAAGTGAGAGTGAACTTATGCGGTACATTCACCGTCTTCATGGAAAAGATTATGGTCTCATGCATGGTTGTGTGCCCTTGGGTTCTTGTACCGTGAAACTTAATCCAGCTGCCGCCATGTTTTCCTTGTCGTTGTAAGAATTTACCAACCTTCACCCTCTTGCACCGACGGAGCAAACGCGAGGACATGATGCGTTGTGTTTGGATCTGGAGCAGAAAATAAGGGATATTACCGCTTTAGATGCCGTATCGCTTCAGCCAAATACTGGTGCTCCGGGTGAATATGCTGGTCTTCGTGTGATCCGCTCGTATCATAATTCAAAAAGGGAGAGCCATCGCAATGTTTGCTTGATTCCAGAAAGTGCTCATGGCACAAATTTTGCTTCGGCTCTCTTGGCAGGGACGGTGATTGTAAAGATAAAGTGTTTGGCGGATGGAAGGATTGACATGAAGGATTTGGAAAATTCTTGCCAAAAGCATACAAAAGAATCTCTCGTGCATTATGATAACGTATCCGAGTACGTATGGTTTGTTTGGCAGGGAAATCTTGGCCATTACTTCAATGGTGCACTACGATGGAGGGCAACGTTATATTGATGGTGCAAACATGAATGCCATGGTGGGTTACACAGCACCTGGATTTATTGGGGGCGATGTGTGCCAGATTAATCTCCACAAAACGTTTTCATTTCCTCATGGTGGTGGTGGGCCAGGCATGGGTCCTATTGCTGTTCGTCAGCACCTGGCTTCATTCTTGCCAGATTCTGTTTTTATTCAAAATGTTGGTGGTTCCCAGCCTTTTGGTCAAGTCTCTCAAGCAGCATACGGATCGGCGTCTATTCTTCCAGTTTCTTATTTATTAATGTGGATGCTTGGTTCACGGGGTCTCAAGACATGCACGGGGTATGCGATTTTAAATGCCAACTATTTAAAGAGGCGTCTTGACGGCCACTGCCCAGTTCTCTTTCCAGGGGAAAACGATTTCTGCGCTCACGAGTTTATCATAGATTTAAGACCATTTAAAAAAACAGCACAAATTGAAGCAGAAGATGTGGCGAAACGACTTGTGGATTATGGCCTTCACTCACCTACCCTGGCATTTCCTGTTGCGGGAACACTCATGATTGAACCCACAGAGTCAGAGCCAAAGCGGGAGTTGGATTGTTTGGCCGATGCACTTATTTCCATTCGTACCGAAATTGCATCCATAGAGGAGGGTGAAGAGAGCACAACGAACAACGTTCTTAAGAATGCCCCGCACACGGCAAAGTGTGTCACATCAGATGATTGGGACAGGCCATACACCCGGAAAACTGCTGCATTCCCTTCGAGCCATTCACACACCGAAAAGTTTTGGCCTTCAGTTGCCCGCATCGATGGAAGCTATGGGGACAGAAACTTGATTTGCAGTTGTGCATCGAATAATTTTTGTGAGTAAAACTGTTGCAATGGGAGGCAGTAATGTTTTATTATTATTATTTATTGCCAATTTTATATTTTTATTTGTTTCTGCATCCATTTCTTGGGTGATGGAGTGTTTTGGGCCCATTTGTGTCTGATGTGATAAAACTGAACAGGGGGAGAGGGATATTATTGTGTGTGAGTGTGTGTTTGTCTGTGTGGTCGCAGAATGATTTTATGGTCTTATTCTTTATCCTGTCAAGTGCTCTTCTTTAGGATGTACAATAATTCCAATGCGAAGATGCTTTGCCCTTGCAATCGCCTGGATTTTTCCTGCTTATTATTCCCTTTGTTGATACTGTTGTTGATTTGTGAAGGTAAAGCTTTACTGCAACTATACAAATGCATGTTTGTGGGATTATTATTTTTGTCAGGCCAAAGGTGAAGTGAACTAAGGCGTCTGCCTTTCCCTCACTGTCGTCAAGAATATTTCCGGATACTCATCACGCAAACGTCTCAGATGTAATTTTTTCCTCAGTTTTGAATAATGTCTTGCACTTCAACAACCTCCAGCTTTGAGATAAATGGGGGTTACGATGAGAAGGAAATCGTCTACACACTTTTTTTTTTTGTATCTTTTAGTTTTTATTTTCTCTTTTTGCTGTTAGAAAACATT